TGATTCTGATTCATTCCACATAAAATAGGCAGTTTCCTCGCATTCTATTACCGAAAAAACCGCCATATATCATTGACAGTAAAAACAGAAAGTCAGGCAAATGGCTCCATCAAAAAAACATTTAATGTCACTGGTGTTTTACAGTCTTGAGAAGGAAATTCTAACCTTTAATTTCCACACTGTAGGACAAAAACTACACTGTTGAGTGCTTTTTTTTGGGTATTTCTTCTATGATGAACTGTTTTTACCTCTGTGTTGCTGCACTTTTGACTTTCCAGTAATGCGTAGGTGAGAAGAGATTTCCCTGGTGAAAATTACAACAGCAGTTCAGCCTTTTCATGTGCTACTGCCAGTGTACACATTGTACACAGGCAGACTTCATGTTCAAAGTCTTGCTTAAATAGAAGTACATAAGTATTGACAGCAAAATGTTTTTAAAGTACAAAAGGTAAACACATTATTATGAAGCAGAATACTCAGTGTATCAGTGTGGCATTATTATATATTATATTATTGGATTATCCACATGCATTTGCAGCTGGTGGTATAACCTGATCACATTTTGCAATAATAAAAATTAAGTAGCTGTCAAACAAAGTTTAAAATAAAAAGTACAACAAGTCTCTCTGAAGTAGTGAAGTAGACTAGAAGTATAAATACTAAAGTAAAGTATCCTAGAATTGTACTTAAGTGGGCCACAGTACTAGAGTAACTGTGGGGTACTTACAGCACACCCCTAGTGATCATGGTGGCAACAATGTTGTTTTGAGAATAAATACTGTTTATACAATTAATAATATACAAAATGTGAATTGAATCTATAATAAAGTTACAAAATGGTAGACACATTTCATTAGGGCCTACAAAACAATGGACTACAGTAAGTGTTTGACAGTGTCCTCATCAGCTGTCCCACATGGTTCAGCGTGACGATCATCTGCACAACCCAAGAATGTGTAATATGTGGAGACTACGAGGAATGGAGAGAGTGAGAGAGGTGTTTTTCCTCATATGCTTTGCCTCCTCCAGGATCTGCAGATTGGTACAGTCGGGTCAGGGCAGACAGTCATTTGCGCAAACCTCGGGATCACAAGCCGGTCACATGCTGCCGCAGCCAGGCACGGGATGCAGCTTATCCCGCTGCAGGAACGCAGTTGAGCGCACAGGAATGACCATCACAGGATAAACCTGTCCGCAGGGCTCTTCTGTGAAAGAGAGAGAGAGAGAGAGGGATATTGTGTATGCGTGTGTGTGAGAAAGAGCTTTTTCTTTGAACGTACTGAGAATTTCTATTATATAAAGCTATAAAGGAGTAACTGAAGAAAATTTTTAGATTGACCCCTGATTAATACTTTTTCTTAAATCCCTTCTCCTTATGTCCCAACCAGACACAAGAGGGCAGCATGACCCGTTTATTGAAGAGCACCACAGGGCGACTGCCTGTCAGCATGGTTATTGCACGCAGTCAAGAGTTTCCTCATCTTCAGTTGTATAGAGACAGGAGAGGAGGGAGAATACTGATGATATGACCAGCTGGTGGTGTTTCTTATGGTTATTGGACTGTTTTTCTCATTTCAGAGAGATTATTCATATTTAAATCAACCCTGCTGCCCTGCACAGTTGAAAGTTAAATCTTTTTGATTTTTACTACAGGGGAGAGACATAATTTGCACCCTGTTGCCCAAGGAGACAATTAGTGTCTTAGCTAGAAAGTGTGCTTGAAAATCACAATATTGCTTTGTCAGTCCAATCTAGAAAACAGGTGGAGCTGTACTACCTAACAGGTTTGTAATCTTTTAACAGGTGAGCACACGGAGAGAGGTGTTGATCATTAGTGTGTAGGAAATAAAATGTGATCTAGATGTGTGTGTGTGTGTGTGTGTGTTTCAGCGTCGGAGATGGTAAGAGGGTATAACTTCCTCACCTCTCGACCTCTTGACCTGTGGGTCCTCATGAGGCATGGACAAATCTACAAATTATGATTTAGTCAATCAACAGAAAATCTATCTGCAACTTGTTCTGATAATCTATTTATTATTTAATACATTTTCTAAGCAAAAATTGACAGATTTTGTTCCATCTTATCAAATATGAATATGTTTTTTTGGTCTTCTATGACAGTAAACTGAGTATCTTT